CTTCCTTGTGTGAAAAATTAGAATAAAAAACCTTCATATCCAATTAAGTGGATTTCTTCACATCATTCCCCCAGAGCAGACCAGAACACACAGAATAATTGATCCCTGCCCTTTTTATTTAAAACATTTCTATATTAAAAGACCTTTATCAAGTTTCACCCTTGCTTTTCCAGACTAGACAGATCTAAGTTCCTCAATGCTCTGGGCTCTGGGAGTAACTGGGGACACCTGCTTCCCACCTCACCCCAGTTCCACAAGTGTGAACCCCAGCTGCTGGGCTGCCAGAAAAATGCTTCTGTTCCTTGAAAGTGCCAAGCCCTGCTTGCTGGCTGCCTGTTTTCCCTCCCACAGGTGTGGAAGCGCCGCCCGCAGCGCATCACATCTTGACCAAGGTCATGCGCAGTAAATGTTTGGAAATGTTTTCTTTTTATGTCATAAGAAAAGGTAGAACAAACAACACATCTGTTGAAAAAGTAAAAGAGAAGGTCTTTTGAATGCTTCCCTTGGTACTGCCAGCACTTCAGCTTGTTTGATGAAGAATTGGATTTGCTGATAGATCAGCAAAAGGTTGGATGTCCCCCACACAGTCGCAGGGGAAGCACTGGGAGATGTCGTGAGTTGCTTGGCAAACACATAGAGATGACTTTAGGAGAAGGTTTTTTTGATGGCTGTCCTGTTCAGTGAACTCAGCAAAGACTGGGTCTTGGAGGTCTGAGTGAAATCGCCTGTAGCAAAATTTACAGAGCTGTCAGAAAAGGAGAGGCCACGTTTTAAAGGGTAGCAATGCAACATGACATTCAAAACAACAGATGATGGGGAGTCAAAGAGCCTGGAAGCTTTCATCTGATCTGAATCAGACTTTGCTACTCTTTAGTACTTCAGTACTTCAGTGGGGTGCCAGGTCGTGGGCAGCACCAGACACTGCTGCTGGACAGGGCTCTGCTGGCATCCAGACTTTTTGTGGACACAAACACAACTAACCCTGAGCATATCAGCTGTTCTCATGCTATTTATGGAAAAGGAAAAGCATCTGAGAACTACTCTTCTATAAAGAGAGAAAAAGAATAATTTCAAAGTGGAGACTTTTCTCAGGGTGGGCTAATGGCACTCAGAAGTAACTGAATATCCATTTATTGTGTCTCAAATAACCACTAACACAATTCCTAGTCGCATTCTTTTCTTAAAAATTAAATGGGAGAGTATCATAAAACTGAGTTATTGCTGTGCCAGCAAAATATTTGTAGAGAGGTTTTCGGTTTCTGGCCATAAAAGAGAAGGTACAGGAGGCAGGAGATTTTGGTTAAAACCTGGTAAAAGTATTGTGGACTTTTGGACTATTATTAAAATGTCTGATCAATAAGGACAGTGTGATGAGAGAAATTTTTGTGGTAGGATCAACTTCAGCATGTCTTGTGCTGCCATGAATCTGGTTTTAGTTCCATCAGCTTTACCCTGGTGTTAATCAGTTGGTTTGACTGGCATAATTTCTGATTACATTCTTCTAAGTGAGATCAAGAATCTCTTTCTTTGCCTTCAGGAAACAGAATAGCCATTAGTGGAAATATGGAACTATGCTTGTAACTCCCCAGTGTTTTGTTTTGAATGCAAGAAAGTGTAACTGGTTTCTGCAGGTGTTTCTGAAGAGTTAGCAGAATATTCTTTGTCACAACCTCAGATGAAATGGTCTTAATCACAGTGTATGGCTCTCCTAGCTGCCACAGGACATTTAATATGTTGGAAAAGGTGTCTCTGTTCCCTTGTAAAAACCAAATTTGCTTTTACAGCCATTGCCCATAATGCAGCAGGAGAATGGTGTTAATAACCATTTCATTGTGGCTGCAGAAACCTTCTGCACCTCTCCAGGGAAGAAGCAACTTTTTCATCTGTAAATGGCCAAAGAGTTACCTTTGGAAGCTTTCACTCTTGGGATCCAAAGGCTTCCTTGCACACATAACCTGTGCTACCTAATGGTTCTCCAGGGGAGAAAAATTAGGTTGGTGGGTTGGGTTTTGGGTTGTAATTGTTTCTGTCTTTGTTTGAACTTCTGAAGGCTGTGGGTATGCACAGTATTCACACAGGGAAAGTGGCAGCCATGGCTGTTTAATGGGAGCAGTGGGAACTGGAAAGTCTCAAGGAGATTCTCAGGAAGGATCACACAAAGGCTCCTTGGAGCCTTTGGAAAGAGCTGGGCATGTTCTTCCCAGGCATGTGATGCCCTGAACTCTGTGAAGGGCTGTAGAACAACACAAAGTGTTTTGCTGTGTCTACAGAAGCTTTAGAAATGATCAGCCTTTGGGACAAAAAAAGAAAAACTCTATTTCTTGTTAGAGAAAATGGAGTTGTCTAGGGAAGTGTTTGCACTGCACTCTAAGGCTTCAGTCTATGCATGGGATTTCAGAGAGTTCATGTCTTTGCCTACCTTGATATTGTTACCTTGCTCAAGTTTGTGCAGAGGAAGTAAGGACTCAGAGGTCAGCAATGAGTGGTTTTGAAAAACCAAGTGGTGACTGTATCTCCCACAAACTTGGAGAGAGGAATCAGTTTGTGTCATTTTTAAATACTTCCCACATTGTCTTACTTACTATTTCTTTTGCTCATTCTCCCCCCCTTTCACTACAAGAATTTAATTTCCTCTCTATGAATAAGAGTTAGCTGATGCTTATAATTTATTTCTTAATATGCACTTAGATCTCAGACAAAGTTTGATGGAATTAGTACTCTCATAATGTGTCATGGGCATGATCTTCAACACTAACCTCAAGGCAGTTTACCTTCCACTGGGAAATGAATTCCCAAAGGGAGATGAAGTTGCCTGGCATGAGTAAGAATCAGGTCACTTGGTCTAAATGACTAATTATGCAGTTTAGTACTTAGCTTTTGGATTCCAGTTTTGACCTCTAAATGCAGAACAAGTTCCAGATGTTGTCAGCAGTAACTTCAGTTTGAGGCCCCAGCACTTTTACTGAAGTGCTGCTCCATTCACATCAAAAGACACTCCTGGTCCACAGCAGCCCCAAAACTGTGGAGTTCAAGAGTGTTTTCTGTTCCCTGTAAATCAGATTATCATCTTGAACCAAGGCTTGGACCACTGGATTCACACAGCCACCTACCAACTTTGGGCTACCAGCGAGCCTGTGTGTGCAAATGTGTATCCACTGAGTGCATAAATTGTAAATTAAAGGTATTCATTCATCTGCTTTCTAGCCAAAATTAACTTATAATCATTAGGCTTTTTTTCATATCTGGATATTGCTTTAAAAGCCTTTGGTTCAATCTGCTTTCCTGTCTTTTCCCCCAGTATTTTCAGTGCTGTGGGACTGGAAAAAAGGAGGATTTTTTGTAGTTCTTTCATTGCTTCCCTCTTGCCTCTACTTACTCTTGAACCAAAACCAGAACTTAGATTTCGTTGTGGGCATGTATAGTTACCTCAGTGGTCAATCAAGCTGAGAAAATCTGGCTTTGTCTCACTCTCTGCCTTTTAGATGTTAACAGGAGGGGCTGATCTACCTCTCAAGAAACCATGAGACTTCTTAATTACTAGTAATCTACTCTGTGATTAAAAGTGGGTGTTCCCTAGATATCTTTTGCTGAGGAGATGGAGGACTATACTGAGGAAATGAGGAAACATTTCAGGAAGGTCAGAGGTGTCCCCAGCACGTTCTGCAGATTGTCTGTCAAGGCTGAGCATTGCACAGCATGCACAGACAGTTCTGTAAACCATGTTCCTATTTAAAAACATTCAAGTGGAACAAACTTACTTTTTCATGTCACAAACCAGGATCATATTCACATTTCAGCAGTGGGAAGAAGAAGATAAAAGACTTAATTCAGCTTTCAACATGCTGGAGATTTTCTGTGGCTCCACCTCTGCCCCTTCTTCTGGTCTCATTCCCAGTGTTTTTGAACTCTGCCTGCAATGCATTTCAGTGCTTGCCAAGATATCTCTGACTAGGGGTGAGTTAATGAGAACATCTGGCCAGGAATGGGGGATGATGCTCTGTGCCCCACCCACCCAGCACATCTGGTGGCTGTGGGCATGGATGGGGAGACCTTACTGAGCATTAAGTCTTCTGCAAGGAAAGAGGATTTTATCATCTATGGATGAGTTTATTGAATATACCCAAATCCAAGTGGTTATATAAAGGGACTGTCATGTATATGGGAGAAATGCCTATAAATAGGTGCACACACACACACACAAATATACACTTTGGAATATAATTACAGTACACAGTCAATGTATAAGTATGTGGACTGCCTAAAAAACTGTCTTTTTAGATAACTAGTCCCAAAAGTCCTAAACTGCTTAACCATCAAGGCATATTGCAAGACACCTCTCTTTGGTAAGGTTTTGCAGAGTTGAATATACATTCTCTCCAAAGGGAGGAGAGGATGAAAAGAGTTTGTGTGGTTGGTTGGCAAAGTCCCTTTTCGAAATTATTATTTTAAAGCTGCTGATTTATTTTTGTCTAAGGATGAGCTAAGGTGTCCAGATACTTTTGTGAACATCTTTTTTATATATAGATAGATGTAGATCTATATCAATAAGTACCAATGCTCTGCTCTTGTTTTGCATTGCTGGTTAAAAAAAAAAAAAGATGGATTTTTCAGACAGCACAATGAATCACCCATGAAGTGAAAACACTGGGCAAATTCTCTTTTGTTTAATAGAATGGGCTGTACACAGTTCAGGCCAGCACATTTTTCATGGGATGCAAGGGAGCAGTTCAAAGAATTGGCAAGGAGTGGGTCCTGCATATTCATGAGGCTGGGCAAGGAGGTGAAAGTACAGGAGAAGGCAGAAAAGCAATGTGAGGATAGAGTGGAATGTGGAGCGAGTTGCCACGGTATCCTATTTTACTGCTCTTTGACGTAAAGCTCCTTTGCTTTTACACAACCGCTGGAATTGAATGGAAGCAGCTCAGGGGCATAAATAATGAATGTGCCTCTCACACGTTAAGAGAGCAGAGAGTTAATGTGCCCCTCTCTTCTCTCCCCAGTCTCCAGCCTATGTTCCCGAAGTCAGTCCAGAACTTATCCAGCAGACAGAGGAGAAACTGGAGAACAGCCCCTGCAAAGAGCTGTTCTCTCCCTGCACAAAGTAAGTATAACACGACGCCCAAAGGGCTGCAGCCAGCAGCTTCTGAGGAATGTGGCAGGTAGAGGCATTTCAGCCTGAGGCAGGTATCTTTGCTCACAGTCCTAGAGGTGAAGTCATTTCATCTGAACAAAATATACTAAATATTTCCATGCCATTATATACTCTACACACAGGCACTTACTGTTTCAGGTATTTGACAGAGTGTTCCAGCCAAGTAAACCAGCCGTGGATTTCATGCTGTGTGAAAAGAGCTACAATGATAATGTATCCAAAGAAAACATCTCTGTTTCAAAGTGAATAAAAATTAAGTGGCTATACAGTCCATTTAGACAGAGGAATGTGCAAACTCGCTCCGCATGGCTTTTCCAGAAAATCTTCACCAGGAGAACGGGGCTTTTTTAATGCTTTCTGTCTGTCTGTGGCGCTCAAACGAACGTGCATTATTTCCCCCTTTGTCTGGGAAAAGGCTTATCAGTTTCTGCAGCGATTTGTGCCATTATGTGCTAAAGCTCCAGGTATGCAATCTGCATTTGCAAACCCTGCCCAGTAGATCATAAACCAATAAAAATATGAAAAGGAGGGATCATGGCACACGGGCCCATGTGGTTTCTGGCTGAGCGCGGTTTGTTTTCCCTGGGTGATGTAATGGGGATTTGTAAAATTTGCTCCGCTGTCATTCATTGTTTTGACTCATTTCATTGACCTTTTCTGGTTCCAGTTATTCTTTGCGTTGGTAGGAGCTGTGGGTTATTTCTGGCCTTCTCCTCTAGCACAGGCAGTTTCCTTGCACTGGCCTGGTGTCCTGTAGAGATGCTCTGTAACTCGCACCAGTTGTGGGTGCCAGTCCCAGCGACAAAGGCAGAGCTGTGCTCCACACAAACCCCCCTGGTGCCTGTTTCCAGTTCTCAAATCGGTTTGAAAGCTGACAGTTCCCTCTAAAATGCACTTTGTTGTTGCCAAAGAGGGGAACTAAAAAGCAAACAACTGCTGAAAGGCAGCTATTGTTCTTTTAAAATACGTGCAGCTTTTAATTAACTGAATGGAAAGGCCGAGCATTGGACACCACTTAATGCAGGCTCCTTCCTTCATCCCTGCTGAAACTCAGGAATGAGCCAGGTTTGGGACCTTGTTAATAAATATGCTGATCACTTCACATGGACTGAAATGAGGTCAAAAGGAAGTTTTAAAAAATTGCTGTTGGTGTTTACTGTTGCTGAATGATGTTCATTTTGGAGGGGCTCACAGTCAGACCAGAAAAGGGAGGCATACATACAAATATGAAGCCTGCTGTCCTGGAGGAGCAGGGATGGGATGAGTTCCATTCACATCTTCACAGATTAAAAAATCAGTCTGCAAGAAAAGTGCATGTATGTAACTTCTGCTATTACCTTTAATATTTTGACTGTCTGCTCCTGCTGTCCTCCAACATCACCTAGAAATCTGATGTTGAATTTGGACATTTATTAAAGCAAATTAAGACTTCCTTTGTATTTCGTTTTGTAATCTTTAATCCATTAAGGGAAACTGTTACGATCTGTGTCCAGTCAAAGCTAATCAAGATAACAACAATTTGAGTTGTGCACACTGAACATGTGCAATTACCTGCCTTCTCCAAATTGATGATGCAAGCATTAAAAAAAAAATAAAATATTGTAACAGCTGAGAAATGCCAAAAATACTAGCTCATGAATGGGGAGGAACTAAACTGAGGAGACACATTACTCATGGTGACTTGCTTGCTCAGAGAACTGCCCGAGGGTAAGACACAGACTATCATCCCCAGACTAGAGCGGTCATTCAGAGAGGATTTCCTCCTTCCAGCAAGATTTAGAAATGTGTCTGTATGCCCTTAGACACAGACACAAGTGTGTCTGTATACACCCAGACAGAAATGCTCATTTCTTGGGGCAATTTTCACCCTAACCCAACTTCTGTCCTGCCAATGCTGCCAGCAGAGGTGGATGCAGGAGCTCCAGTGAGCAAAGCAATAATCAACACCAGCAGTTGTTAAACAACATGACCACCTTCATTTTAGACAACTCCCAGCTCAGCCCATGTTTTCTTAGTTCCAAGCCTCTGGCCTTTCTGATGGGATGCCTGATGCTCTCTGACTGTTTTCTGCCTGTCACAAGCAACAGAATTTCTTCTTATATTTGCAGACTGACCTTTTTATTCCTTTATTCTTTCCATTATGCAAAAGGCTCCATCCACTGCATGAGCCCCAAAATTCTTTTCTTGATCCAAAAGCAAATCCAATCCCTGTTCAGACTTTTGTTTCCCCAGTTTTACTCTAAAAAGCATACAGCTGTTAGGAAATCCCCTTTGACTTTGGCACACGTAGTAATTCTTCTATATAGCAGGAATTGAAACTGAACTTTTTGCTCAGAATAATGCCTCAGATGGTCTCTCTTTGATAGAAATGGGCTTCAGCCAGATATTTTCTATCCAGATGTAAACATGCCTCAAAGTTTAGGAGCTCAGTTCCTGAGGATGTTGTTTCAGTTTACTAACAGAAGCAAAGACATTCACTGTGTGGTGGCTAACAACCTCTGTAAGAGTCCATTAAGGACAGTGGGAGTTGCCCTGACAATTTTCAGCAAGCATCACCAGTATTCAGCGTGTATGAGGCCTTCTGTTATTAAATACATCAAGTACATCACTTTGTTTCTATACTGAAACAGTCAGAAAAATAAAATACAAAATAAAGTGCAAAAAAAAAGTAGAAATAACATAATCCTACCATAAAGGAAGTCTGGACTTTTCTCCTCTTGTTTTATTTCTCTTTTTGCTCAAAGTTCAGGATAATAAAATGCTTATATATCCTTTTCATCTGAGATAGATCTGTCCTTGACCACCTCAGTGGGGAACCATTCCAAGAGTACCTAAACAGCATGTACTTCGACAGGTTTCTCCAGTGGAAGTGGTTGGAAAGGTAAGTGTCACAATTTATTTTTTTTTTAATAAAAATAAATAAAAAGGTTTATTTTTACTTTCCATGCAAAGTCTGTTGAATATGCTCAAAATCTGACAGTTGAGATAATGTTTGCTTCTACAGCTCAAGTGTTCAACCATTTAATGGGCTTAGGTACATTAAACATAGTAGGTATGATTAATGTATATTCAGCAACTTCAGCTGTCTTTCTGTTTAGCTACCCTCTGAATGTGGTGACTTTTTGTCTGGACCAGTTGTCACTGTTATTAAATCACGCTAAAGAGAGGAAAAATGTGGCATATAGGCCCTCTCTCTGTATTTATTGGCTGGACATTCCTGAGCACATTTAATAACCAGGCACTCTTAGTGGGTATTAATTTGCAAGGAAAGGGCTTGTGCCTCTCCCTTGTCAGAGAGTGCTGCAGCAGACGGTCACTGCTGGGTGACAGTGACCTTGGGCTGAGAGAAGCCCCATTTTCCACAAATGGCATTAATTACGGCGGATGAGCTGGGGCCGGATCCATGAGTGGTGTGTGTCAGCAGGACGCCTCCAGATCAAAGGAGCTGTGCCAGTTCCTCTCCCTGGAAAGCTACAAAGCTGCTGCTCAGGAGGGGTGGGCAGAGGGAAGAGCCATTTCATGCCAAGGCATGCTCCACATGCCATCTTTCCGAGCCCAGCATTTACTCTTCCATTTCAATTAAAAAAACATTGGGTGATTCATCTCTAGCCAGGCTATTTCCTATCTGTTTTCACATTTGGGTTAAGGAATTTTCTGCAATGCTTTGAGGATTATTTTTTTTTCCCATTCCCCCAACAAGTGTGACAAGCTGTTGGATATGCCTGGCTTAAGAAGCTGGGAGAATTGTTTTTAGGATTAGCAAAGAGATGTTAGTAGCATGGAGTGATCAACAGCTCCTTCTGACAGCTTGCTGGCTCCAAAGGAGCAGTCACAGAGTCCATTTATTCCAGGGACATTGCTGAACATGTAGTTATCACTACTAATTGTCGCTTTTAACCCCAAAACCATTTGCAGCAGTCTTACAGAATACTGAAAATAGCATCTTTTCCTCTTCTAGTTTTTTACTGTCTGCACACTATTCTTCCCCTACTTTGGAAACATTAATGGGCGTTAATGAAAGGATTCACTTCAGCATTTATTCTTCATTGTCATCAACCTCATCTCCCTCTGCCGGCTGGCTGCCTGCCCGAGGGGAGCAAGGAGGGCAGGAATGTTCATATCCACTGCTGGCATCCTTGTAAAACATGCTGCTGGATACAAAATGGGATCTCGCTGAACCTGGAATCCTTCTTCTGTAGGGTTATAAAACTTCTACAGTAGCAAAGTAAAAGTTGGATGTAGAGATGGAGCCATTCTGGTGGTTTTGTGGGAAGCTTGGGAGGTTGTACAGGGATCGTGTCAAGTGATAGGAGCACTCTGCCCTCGGGGGCAGATTTATTTAACCTTAATTTAGCTCTTGCCCCCTTCTTGCCTGTGATGCTCCCCCAGGAAGCAGGTACGGGCTTGGACCTTGTCCTCCTGCTCTCCCAGCCTGCAAGTGTCACATAAATCCACCTCTCCTACTCCCAGGATTGTTTCTGCCTTTGGTTCATATGGGTTTCATGTTTTGTTTAACACAACAGAAGTATGTTCTGCTGGTTTGAATTTTGGATCTCTTTTTGTCATCTTGCTGGCCAAGCAAAGCAACATGTTAGCCCACTCTATATGTCATGGGAATTAATGGGAATCTTACTGGAAGATCTCAGGCTTCTTCTTTGCTTAACAAAGGCCAAAGCTGTATAATGGAGATTCAGAACCCTCCTTGGTCCTAAGATGCTAGCAGAAATTATACTGATGACTCACTAATGTGTTGTATTTTATTACAGCTTAATATGTTGGAATTGAAAAGTTCAAGCCATACATAGTATTGAAGTAATGTAATTACATGATTATATATTATATTATATTATACAATTACCTTGAAATAATGGGATTGTATAATATTTATCTATTTTGCTTTTCAAAAGTACGCTCTGAAATAAATAAATCACAGAGAGTGCATTAAATATAGTGTGGAGGGGAGTTTATTTATTTATTTCCTTTTCTTCCAGGCAACCAGTGACAAAAAACACGTTTAGGCAGTACAGGGTACTGGGGAAAGGCGGTTTTGGGGAGGTGAGTAATTCTGAAATTTTCTGTTAAGTGTGTTTTTTACTTTTTAAAAACTGCAGGTACAGGAGCCTGATGTGACAGAGGCAGCTTTTCATTAATTGCTGGCAATTCTACTTAACCCCTCGGGACTCTGTAATCTCAAAAGGACACTTTCGAGAGTTATTTTGTGTTCAGCTGTTGCATTCACAGTGGAATTGGGGTCACACCCTTATTTGTATTTTCCTGGTGTCTGGAGGTGCCAACAGAGGCAGATTGAGAGATTAAAATCTGCACAGACAAAAGGAGGTGGGAGAGGAAGCAGGCGGAGGAAAGTGAAATAATTAAAGCAATATTCAGGTTTGGAAACAGTAGTCAGTCCCCCAGCTGCCCCCTCCTAGGCCTGGCTCACCAAGCCACCATCTCTCGCCTTAAAAGGAGCAAACCAGAGGAGCTGGTGAGGAGCAAAACGCGGCCCAGAAGCGGCGTTTGCTTCGAGTTACGCGGCAATTGTTCTTCTCCCTTCGCAGGTCTGCGCCTGCCAAGTGCGAGCCACGGGCAAGATGTACGCCTGCAAGAGATTAGAGAAGAAGAGGATCAAGAAGAGGAAAGGCGAATCCATGGCGCTCAATGAGAAGCAGATTTTAGAAAAAGTCAATAGTCAGTTTGTAGTGAGTATTGTTTGAGTTCTGTGGTTCCCTGCTCACCTGCTGAGCGCTGTGCTGGTTGAATTCAGCGCCTCCTCCATCTCCTGCTCGTGGGAAGGTGCCAGAAGCTGAATCCCTTTGCTTTGCACCTTAGCCCTGCTCCCTGTACCTTTGCTGAGTGTCATTTTAGGCTCTGGTCCATCAGAAGTGCAGCAGTCAAGGGGCCTGTGCCTGCCATGGGAACGTGATGTGTTTTACAGCCTTGGCTTGCATCACAGCTGCATTGGGATGAGCCATTCTTATCCAACGTGATTACCTGAATTCCCAGGGTCTGGGGGGGAGACTGAGGGACATTCAACCCAAACAGATCCAATGAGACTGGCTTGCAGAGGCGTCTAAGCAGTGATATGGAGCAGGCTGGCCTGATGCAGGGTTCTCCTGAGTCACACCAGCTCTTGTGCCTCCTTTAAAACTTCCCTTAGATTTAGAAAAAGAAAAAAAAAGGTGTTATCTCAGCATCTGTCATGTTCTTTATACTTATTTCTGGAAACACTGTGTATACAACAGATGCAAGGTGTTTGCTTATATGTTTGCTTGCCTCTGCCAGAGGATGGCACATATTTAAAAGTGATGGGTAGATTGTGGCTGGTCTGAGTTTTCCTTGGGCACTCACCAGAGCCTCCAGGGATGATGCTGACCTTCACATCTCCGTGATAGTCCATTTGATCATGCCAGGACTGGGATATCTGGGCCTTCCAGGGAACTCACTGAGATGCAAAACAGTGCAGCAGGGGGTGTAAATTCCCTTGATTACTAAGATTTCTCATACATGGGAAAATATGCCTGGAATTAGTATGTTTGTCCAGCCTCTGAAGCTATCTGAGACTTGAGGGTTTCTAGTGATAAATAGGCTGGATTACACAAATTAATCTGTAGAATCCTAACATCTGATTTTTCTGTACTTTTAAAATATATGTTTGCCATTGTAAGGAAGCCCATACCAAATTCAGTCAATGTATTTTTTTTATTATTATTTTCTGGAGAAAATCTTTAATGAAAAGCTAGCACTTCCTTCTTAGCAGCCATCTGAACTGTCACAATTGTCCTGCAAATGTTTTTCTAGGTCAATTTAGCCTATGCCTATGAAACAAAGGATGCACTGTGTTTAGTTCTGACCATAATGAACGGAGGTGACCTGAAGTTTCATATCTACAACATGGGAAACCCAGGTTTCGAGGAGGAAAGAGCTTTGTTTTATGCAGCAGAGATTCTTTGTGGCTTGGAAGACCTTCACAGAGAAAATACTGTGTACAGGTAAGTGCTCTCTAGAGTCCTAGGATGTCTTTTCTGGGTAGGAAAGAATTGTCTGCTTCCTCCCTTCTTACTGTGGTGCTGCACAGCTGAGATGCCTGAGTGCTTTGGCTGAAATTTTGCAGAGCCCTGTATAAATACAGCATGATACAGTAATCATGGAAGGAAGCAGTTGCTTCCCTAAATGCATCCTGTGTAAATTATCCAGAACCAGCACAAAGCTCCCCAAACCTTACCTCAGTGTGCACTGGGCAACATAAAAAAAAATATGGAAGTCCCGTCAAAGGAATTTCATTATAGAATTGAGTTCCTAGTTGGGATGAAATGGAGATCATTCCATCCAAGCCTCTACTTTAATTAGTTAGATTATTTTGCATGAGGGGCTGCAGCATGTAAAAAAAACTTGTATTGCAGAGAGCATGCAATCCCAAGAGGGTGTCTGAGACGCAGGGCATGGATTTCCACTGGTGATGTGATTAGCTGGATGGGATCATGATGATCCTGGTGTGCCAGCCGTGGAAGGGGGCCCATTCCCAGCCACACAGCAGAGGCATCCTGCTGGCAGCATCCCACCATCCATGGGTGCAGCCAGCGGGCACAGCGCTGCCCGGCGCCGCCGCCAACGCTTCCAGGAGGGCAGATCCCAACTTCTCAGCTTCCAGTTTGGCTTGCAGCTCTACACAAGCACTTTTCCAGAGCAGGCTGGATAAGCAAGCAGATTGCAGACAGAGTTCTTGTGACTCCACAAAGATTTATTTTTTTTAATCAACAGCCGCTGTAGTTGTAAACAACGGTTCTTGTTTGTCTTCATCCTCCCCGCTTGTGAAATCATCGTTGCTGGCATTCACAGCAGACGAGGGCCTGTAAATTGATGAAAGAACTTCCAAGGACAATGATTAATAGACAATAAGATGCTATTTTTAAAAGCCAAGCCACACTTTAAATCATTTTATATGCCTGGGTGTAATACATATGATGCATGCGCTTGTATGCATAGAAATTGCAGTATTGTTGTTCCTTGGAGGTATCTAACAAACTGACACTTGGTTGCCTTGCATCTCGCTAGCTGGCACACAGAGGGCAGACAGATAACGTGCTGATTTAGTTGATACTCACCCAAGAAGGAAGTTTTTTCTTTCCCCAAGGAATAAAATAGTACTAAGTGTCTAACGTCAATTGAAAAATCAAATCGTAAGTGAAATGTCTGGCTTCCTTTTCCCTTAGAAAAACTCCTACCACATTTTCAAACATTTTAGGAGGTAGTGTAGTGTTTCACAATCATATTTTATTGAAAAAAATGACTGCTGCATTCCTAACACGGCTGGTAAAATGCCATATTAATGCCATTTTCTAATAGAACAAATCAGATCTGGCCACCTAAAACATTGCGTGGCTCTGAGAGAAATGGCACTTACTTCCTTAAGCAGGAGTTTTCATGCTACTCTTAAAAAGGCTGCTACTTTACACCTCAGATGGCACATTTATTTTGGTGATGAATGATACTACATCCTTGTAGGTGACATTTTCTAGCAGTATGTCAGGAGCATCTGCAGAGACCCCTCATTTGTAATAGTGCAGCGTGTTGTGGGACCCGTGAGAAGTGCTATATAGGTCAATAAAATATAGCAGCTAAATGCTCCTGCCTTCTCAAGGCGAATAATTCACCACAAAACACTTATTCTTCAGACTTAATTTCATTTTCTCTAAACAAAATGCTCCTGAGTAAATCACAGCATTGGAAAATGCATCCCCATCTCCTGGGCCGCTGCTGACGCACGCTGCAGACGTGACCCGGGAGAACAACCAGGCTCAGAGTCAGATTTATCTCATTCAGAATTCCCTTGTCAAACATGGCACTTGTGCTACATTTCTCAACTGCATCATGTTAGTAAAGGTCAACGGGTTGGTTGTTCATGGAAAGCAAATGCAAAAAGCTTCTGGTTCTCCTCAAATTCTTTTTATATATATATTATTTATAGATATATAATTCTTGTCTATTTCATAATTTATATTATGTATTTAAATTCCTATTTTATAATTTTATATGTTTATTTATGTATGTGTGTATAACATTTTTTGTTTTATATAAATATTTTTTATGTATGTGATTTTTTAAAAATTTATACTATAGCTATGCCTGGAAGCTCCAGTGAGCATCAAATTCACATTGTCCCAGGCATTGCACAAATACATGGTAAAGCCTTGTCCAGAGTGATTAATTGAGTTGTTTAGGCTGTTCTGTACAGCCAAACAATTGCTTTTTGAGCATAGGCACAGTGCCAGCAGTTTATGTTCCAGTATGTTTGGGCAAGGCTACTTTACAAATGGGAAGCTGAGCCTGAGCTTTATGGTGTGTCCACCAGGGAGTTTTATTCCCTCTGGACCTTTCAGTCCTGAACCCTTGGAAGTGCTGGCCATGCAAGGGAAGCCAGCCTTGATCTTGAGGAACCAGAAGTCTGAAAACAGGGATGACAGCTGATGTCTGGGAAGGGAGGAAAGCTTCTCCTAATTGCCCTGACCCTAAGAGCTGAACTGGTGTTCTCAGAGTCCTTGTGGACTCTCCCATTTTCTCATTCAAACACAACATTTCCCAAGTTGCACATAAAATTCTTATCATTGGCCCCCAGTTACAGTTTTAAGTGGGACTAATATCTGCTGAGCAGAAGATGAAGTAACTGATGAAGGCTGAGTTCTTCAAGGGAATGATTCTTATAGGATTCAGAACCTATTTTCAAAAATAAATAGACAATGCCCTTGACCGTGCTGCCCCAGCATTGGAAACCTTCTGCTGATTCGCAGGGAAACCCACAGTGGTATGTTAAACAAAATCACAGCTTCTCCTCGGTATTCAGCTGCACTTCACACATTTCAGCATTGTTTGTTTGAAAAGCAGGCTTGGGACCACTGGGCACTGGATGAGGTTTATCTTGGAGGTCAGGAAGGTCTGAAGCAAGCAAGAGGAGATTACTCCCAGCGCTCTGTGTTCTTGCTTGAAATCATAAATAAAAGCAAGGCAAGTTTCAAAATTCCAACTTTGGCATCATCAAAACTATAAAGTACCCCTCTCCATACACAGGAAAATTCATGATGCTGGAGTGGTACAGCTCCTGAGCCAGCACAGCCCAGTCCTGGGGCACTTCTGGGACACTCCCTGTCCAGCATGTCCATCTCCCCCCTCTGACACCTCTGGTCCCATCTCCTAGGCTGGCTTCATTCCCATTCTGCATGAGCAGGATGGGAAAGAACCTGCCTGGCTCCCACCTCAGCAGCAGCCCAAGAATGGCAGCAGCTGCAGAGTTGTGCTGGGCTTGGGAAGGTTTGGAAAACAGCCTTGGTCAAGGAGGGGACAGCGTGGTTGGGCTGGGAAGCATCTCAAAGCAGCAGCTGCTGGAGGAGGTTTTGTGCAGACAAACCTTTCAGAAGAATGATCTGCCAAGGCTCTGCTAAATATGTGAAAACTGAGATTATTTACTTCAGGAGTTTATACCTTGCCCAGATTTGGGGATTTTTTGTTTTCTTTTTTTCAGGAACAATAAAAGGCACATCTTTGACACCAGATTGACCACCTTGCCAATTTTCATGGCATTGCTCCAAACCACACAGGCACTAGAGTTTCACAAATGCTTGTAAGAATAATCTTAATCTGGACACAGCATTCCCCCCTCTGCCCCACATTTTCCAAACTCAACAAAAGTATTGCACATATGTGCAAGTGCATGGACACACATTCACATATTTGGTCTGACTCAGATGCCAGACATAGAAAATTTGAGCCCAACAGAGCTTTTTATTTTTTTGCTTTTTTTTTTTTTTTTACATAAGATTTTATAACAGAGTTCATTTACAGGACTAGATGGATGAGTCCATTATAGGGTAGATTAGGAACTAGAAGCTTGGCTTAGTGAAAAATTGTAACTCCAGTTTAGAAAAAGACATATGGTTTCAGTCTATCTGTGAAGTGAGTTGTAAAAGGTTGTATTGGTTTCAGGAGTTCCTTGCTGTTTGAGTTGACACTCAATTGGTTTATTACAAGTAACAAATGCCCTCATGCAGTTGTATGGTTATTATGTTATCAAAACCAGCTTCATACCCATAACTGCTATCTTTCATTTCCAGAGATCTGAAGCCAGAAAATATCCTGCTGGATGATTATGGTAAGTCTCGGAAGTTTACAGAGATGCTTTCACAGTAAAGTAGATTAAGTTAGTTTCGGGATATATATTGCACAAAGACAAATAATGCTCTGAAGTGATTAAGAGGCTCAGCATACACTAATATTCCTGTTTTGGGGTGGGTGAGCTGCTGGAGCTCGCTGCACAGATGGAAGGAAGCAGCCGTGCCCTCAGCAGGGGCTGTTCTCGAGAGCTCAGCATTGCTGGGGCTCTCTGCCTTTCCCTGTTGTTTTTCCATCCTTGTGGCAAGGCTGGTGCAACATGGAGTTCTAATTTCTAAATCTGTGCTTCCCTCTCCATTTTTGAAAGTACTTGCATCCTCTGCTGAGCCAAGTCTGGTTTTATGCAAGCCCAGGTACCCACCCGTTCGTTGCTGGAGGCAGCGATAATCAAATCTTGTCCTGACTTGCAGACCAGCTGTAGCCTCTTCAGCCATCACAGAGTTACAGAATTGTGTCAGCCCATCCATCCTCCGTGATCAGTTCAAGATACTTCCCCACAGCATGCTTCTCTCTGCCTTTTCTCATTAGTTTTAAAATACCTAATACAATCTGCTGCAGTCCACAGCCTTACTGTTAACATTTATTTTTGTGTTGTAGTGCCCTTAATAATTCTTCTTTTCCATACCAATTAAGCTGCTCCAATTCAGTGATTCAGAATGCTCTTTTCTTAAAATGTCTGAGCAGTAAATTGCAAGAGTAGTTCAGCAATGCCCACAGTTGTGGGTTTTAGACTAATTTGGATTAGGTTATTATATCTGCTTTATGTTGTTTTGTTTCTTTTTTACTTCCAGGACACATTAGAATATCTGATTTGGGTCTAGCTGTTAAAATCCCCGAGGGTGAATCAATCCGTGGAAGAGTAGGAACAGTAGGGTATATGGGTAAGTCTTCCACAGTTCATCTTTTTTAAAAATTTGCTGAGATTACTTGAGTTTTAGAGAAAAAGAGTAAAAAATATTCACGTTCAGCTGGGTCCAGTTTCATGCAGCAACTCCTACAGAAATCCTGACAGTGAAAATCAGAAGAGGGTGAAAGGCTGGACCTCTACAGCTCTCAGTGAGGCTGGTCTGTAAACTTAAATCAGCAAAGCAAATTGAAAGGGGAGACAGCAGCTGGGATTCTAGTGATTTTAGTGTAGATTTATCTTAGGAGGGTTATGTGCCAAAATAAAAGTTTCTTTCTAGTTGCTGCTTTGTATAGGAGTTACAATGTATTTGCATGGTTATGATAAAATGGGTAAGTCCACACCTATGGTCATCTTGACCAGGGTCATCTTGAGCTTTCCTCTATGTGCAGGGCAGGCTGCACGAAAGACGAGTAGAGATTTGTACGTTGGTAAAAAAAAACCCCAAAACTACACTCCCTTATTTAACTAGATCTGTTTTCTAAACTCAATGTAATTATTTTCATGCATTCTCTGGGTGGGCATATTTCTTGGAGTAAAAATTGCTTATGCTTATTTGACTGAATAGAAACTAGCTGATGTGAGCCACTGTTTCACCATATGGAGACTTTAATGAAAGCAAGCAAATCAGTTGTCATGTCTAAATTTTGTTATCTCAGTGTAAGTTTGCGTGCACACTAAGGCTCTGTGCTTGTGAGCACGTGAAGATGTATGTTTGTACCCCTGCATGGAGGTGAGGGTGCCTGCAAGACAGTGACTCTCTGCCCAAAAGCATTGTCTGTGGTTGCAACACAAAATTAATGGATTGGAGTTTCTTTAAAGGGGAAAAAGAAAAGCTATGAATTGACCAAAGAGACAGAATTTGCTTTTGAAGAAATGCCACGGCTGTTTACAGGGTGTGCGTTTGCATTTCCTTTCTTTCCTAAGTGGAGAAATCTGGAGGAACTCTTAAAATTAGGTCTCTGCTTAATATTTAGACCTAACTTCTTCCATGATTTTTTTTTTTTAATTGGACTGAGTTGATAGAGAAGTCAGAAGACAGCATGCACAAGGAATGTAGCATGTAGAGAGAGCACCATGGCATGTAGCATGCTGCATTTCCTGTGATGCCCTCAACTGCAATCAGGAGGTATTTTTGTGTTTTACCCACCGTTCTCTGTGCATGTGTATTCAGTCACCAAAATGAAACTTTGAGGCATTTAAGTGCTCTGCCTGTGTAAATACCAAGCATTTCCACAAGGCATCTCACTCTCCTCCACAGCTCCAGAGGTGTTGAACAACCAGAGATACACACTCAGCCCTGATTACTGGGGGTTAGGCTGTCTCATCTATGAAATGATTGCTGGGCAATCGCCGTTCCGTGGAAGGAAGGAGAAGGTGAAGAGGGAAGAAGTGGACAGAAGAGTGCTGGAGACAGAGGAGGTGTACTCCCATAAGTTCTCTGAGGAGGCCAAGTCCATCTGTAAAATGGTAAGGGGCTGGGAGGCTCAGTGGGGCAGCTTCATTAACTGTGTCTGACCGGGCCTGAGCAGTAACAGGGTGCCATGGAAGGGCTGCAGAAACAAGGACTAACCAAGCTCATCTGTGGATGGGATGGCTGCACTCTCTATTCATTCAAACTCTGTTTATTTGGGCTTGTTCCTCCGTGAGATTCATCATGGTCATCCTGAGCCCTCTCCAAAATTTTATGGCCAAGGGAGCGGTATCTATTCTCATGAGACTTTGAGTGTTAGTTTGCAGTCAAGAATGCATTTCTGTCTTTTATAGCCTTGTAGAAAAAAGAAAAAGGACTCTATGATGCAAGAGTCTGATTGTCTCCTGCAAGGAACTGCAAACCCCACGCTTCCATTGTCTTTGGTGAGAGCTGGGGGTAAGCAGGACAAAGATTATGCAATGAAATTATTGTGACACTCAAATGTTGTCCCAGCCCATCTCACTAACTTTGTTAGCAGCTTTTCCCCTGGGGTGCCTGGGTATCCAGCTTTTCTTAATACTGTTGAGCTGTTCTTCAAAATGTTTTCTCACTCCTTCAGCTGGGAGTCATTTTCGTAGCACAATAGCCATGTCTGACAATGGAAATCCTCAATCCCTCTGAGAAATCTCAAAGCTACGTCTGAATTCATCAATGTCTTGTTGACATCCATCTTTAGAAGGCTGAATTGTAATTTGGGAAAGGATGTGGCCTTTTTCTGGGTGTTGTTTGCTAATGAGTGAAGTCTCCTTTGGAGAAATGACCTATCTGTGTTTGCTGGTAGAGGGAGAACAAAGGGGAGGAAAGGTCAACAAATAGGTAGGGAAGGTTTCACCAATGTCTTGTGCAACAGGCAAGCAAAGAGCAGATCCACAACACTCTGGCTGGCTGGCTGCATGAAGAGACACTGAAGTCTCCTTGCAAAATAATAATGGTAGCACTGCCAAGAGTCATGCCTGGAAGTCATTAACTCACAGTGCACCGAGTCATTCCTGAATCCTCGGGGTGGTATTTAACTGACATCACTCTTGATGGATGCTCTGGGACACTCACTGCCCTTAACTGGTGATGCAGAGCCCCCAGAGAAGCTGACATGGGAGGACTGGGGACCCAAGGGCTCTTACAGACCATCCCATGTGCCCAGCAGGCTGCCTTCTCTCCTCAGGCAGCATCTCAGCTCTCACCAGGTAAGGAGCAGTGTCTGCTGGAGTGGCAGGGAATTTGTCCGTGCCCTGCTGTTAATCTGAAATGGAGATGTGAGGCAGAAATTTTACCTTGCTGCTAGCAACACAGAATCAGAACAGTTTGGGTTGAAAGGGACCTTTAAAGATCACATAGTCCAACCCCCCTTTCCTGGCTGACATACCTGTAGAAGCCCTTCTTGTTACTCTTTATTTCCCTTGCATAACAGAATGAACATATACTTGGAAAATAACCATGAGAACTTAAAGCTGAGAAGAATTAAATGTAGCATTGATGGGACAGTGCTGTAGATGACCTACCACACTCCCAGGACAGCAGACAGTCATGAAACTGTAGTGGTCGTTTTCATCTTCCAGCCATGGAGACTCTGGTTTCAGGGAGTCGGGACCTCAGGAGATCATTTAGTTCTTTCTCTTGCCTCAGAGAATTTTGGACTAAATATAATTTATTCCTTAAGACTTGATCACTGCTGCTTTCCTGTCCAATCATGTGGCATGATTATTGAGGTGGTTTGTGCAAACTATTTATGGATCCAAAGATAACCTTTCCCTTTCTGAGCATTGGTGTCTTGAGGCAGGAAGAGTCTGAGTGTGATGGCGTTTGTGGTTTCCAAAAGCAATTTATTTTATCAAGTGATGCTTTTTTATTTTTAAATCCATTATTCAAACATATTTTCTCAATTTCTATTTGCTTTTTATATTGAAAGCCAGAACTTTGTTGCTTTGCATGAGCATCTTAACAAGGAAACAAAAGAGTCATAAAGTACCCATCATATCTGCAAAATGAAGCAAAAAGTTGCAATACATAAATGAAACTTGAGCCTTCTCAAAGATCCAACACAAAAGGCTTTCCCATAGTGGACTCTTCAGGGCAGGAGTGAGGAAATGTTTCCCACTATGTTGCCCAGCCTTTTCTTCAGAGCTTATTTCATGAGCTAATCACCACCAGGAAATACATTGTCTTTATTCATTTACTCATAGGAAAACCCTCTGGTGTCACCCCTCGTCAAACTTCCCCTCCTGGATGTTTGTGCCCTTTTGCATTTTTGCAGGCACATATCATAGCTCCTATTAATCATCATCCATCCCATATTTCCATGTTTCATTTTGTAAGTAATTTCCCATAAATCAGACCTCATTTTGGACTGAAACGGAGATGAATAACAAATAATTAGGAACAGGGGCAGCTGGCTTTCTGGGAAGCTCCCCAACCCATAGTTCCCATATAACATAGCTGCTCCTGGTGTGTTTTTCTGTGAAAAAAATCCAGTCTTTCTAGGAAATGCTCCATGTTTGTTGTGGTTATGCCTCATACTCCACTCATGTACATGTGTGTTTTCCCTGACAAGTGCAGTCCTGCATCCAGAGATGTGACTTGAAGCGCATTCAAGTCGGCAGTGTTGGATGGGCCCTCATTGTTGGGCTCTTCTGTCACTCTGTCAGTGCCCTGCTTGTCTGCATTTCCCACAAACTTGTCTTCCCTGGTGCCTTTTATCCCTGCAGCTCCCATTTTACCCTACACAAGGGGTTTCTGATGGGATGGTGTAAAGAAGACAGAGCCAATAACAGGGCAGGAAACAAGGGAAACAAACAGAGGCGCAGGAGCAGTTCAGTACCCTCTGAACTTTAGGAAGCATTTTTCCACGGTGAGGGTAGCCAAACAGTGGAACAGTTGCCCAGAGAGGTTATGCATGTAGTCTCCACACCTGGAGATAGCCAAAGCCCAACTGGACAAGGTTTGGAACAACCTGCTCTAGGAAACTCTGCTTGGAGCAGAGGGATTGGACTAGACCATGTCCAGATGTGGCTTCCAGACTCAGCTGTTCCATGTTTCTGATCTCCATTCCCTTTGCAAAGTGCCCCCCACCAACCAACTAAAAGATAATGAGTTCTGTTCTCCTTAAAAGCAATTTTTTTCCTGTTCCTTACTTACCATCAGGAGCTCTGTCATCATACAGCTGCTCCTGCCTGCTGCCATCCCTCCTTTCTGCTTTCATCCCATGGAAATCAGCATTATGACACCTTAAAGTTTATCAGTGTCCAAGCTCTTTCATCTCTCTGCTTTCATATAGTAATTGACCACAGTATTGCTTTTCTGTTCTTTAAAAATTGCTTAAAATAATATGTTTACTTCATTGTCAGGGTTGAACTTTAGCTAGGTGATTCCTTAAACTACTTGATAAGCTGGGTCAGTGGAGATGGTTTTAACATTCCCCTTGTCTGCTTTCATGAGTGGCAATTTTTTGGTTTCCTTACTCTTGAAATTTTAGGACTAACATCTTAGAACTCAGAATTATTTATTGCGTGGTATGATCTGGAGATGAACTTACTGATCACATGAAGATAAAACAGCGCTTTGGGGACTTTTGGCTTTTTTTAGCATCCTCACAACAGTCGTTTCTTTTTGTAAAGGAAGCAAAACAAAGTCATGGAAAAAAGTCTCAGACATTGCAGAGTTTGAATACCCAGTGGGCATCAAATGAGTGAGATGAAAGTATCAGAGAGCTCTTTATATCAGGATCTTGAGGGAACTTTACTGCTGCTACTCAAGACTGTCTTTGAAAGTCCTGTTCTAGTCCTGCTCTGCCCATGAACTCTGTAGACCAAACCCTAAATATCCAGTGTCAGCTGGAGCCTTTTTTACCAGAACACACAGCTCTGCACTTGGCATTAACTTCATGCACCCAGGCCATCTCCAGATTTGAAACTGTGAATTATGTGCAGGCTCTACTGTAGAATTATATTTAAATGACCTTCAATGGGGTCCCTTGCACTGCTGTCCCAGGAGGACTTGTCATCAGCCTGATGGAGTTGCTTTTGTTCTGCTCTCTATTCATATTAAATAAACCCTTTGAAGTGGAATTAAACAAAAATGTAGAGATTACTTATGAAATACTGTTGTTATCTCCATTCTCTTTTCCATGTCAGATTCCCAAATGGGATGCATATTTCATGCTCTTGCGTGGATTTACTATTGCAGAAAGCTTCTGGGGCTGCAGGAAATGGTGAAAGACTAATTATTCCTTGGTGAAAGGAAGGATTCTCCCTTCTGGAAGATATTCCAGTCCATGCTATGTCTTGATATCCACAACAGAAGCCAGGAAGAATGTTGGGTTTCACCTGTTGCCCTCTCTATAGCTGGCTGCATCTACAGCTTTTCAAATTCCATTTACTTCTAGCATTTTTCTCCATTGTGACTCTCCTGGGACTCTCAAGAGACTGCAGCTGCTCCCCTGCAGCAGGGTTTTGCAGGAGAATCCTCTCCTTTCTCTGTTCTTTCAGTCCCAGCCTATTCCCAAGTGGCCTGTTCCCTTTTGTGTCTTTCAGCCAGCAGTGGCCAGCCACCCACAACCAACTGCATTCATGCTCCAGAAACTTCCTTCTTGCATCTGAAGTTACTGAATACTCCCTTGTTTGTCATGGAGGAACCCAGGAATCCCCAGGCAGCCTTTTTCTGTCCTCAGCTACCCTTTTCTCTGACCGCACACTCCAAACATCTTACAGCCTGACAAGGGCAAATTCACAGATCAGCTTGGTTTCCCCACTAAGTCCAGATTCCAGACTGCAGAGATGGGAAATAACCCCCTTTTCATCCCCTCAGAGCTGACTTGAGAGCAGAGACTGTAGAGGTCCCCTGTATCATCTCCAAGCAAGTCCAAATCTATCCCTTCCCACCACCACTTGTTCCTCAGCTGTTCCTCAAAGGTCCAAGGTATCATTTCCAAAAGGATATCAGAGCCATGGGTACTAAAAATTGCCTTTCTGCTTTCAGATTATTCTTTCCAACCATCAGGAAAATGCTATTGACATGAGGATAAAAGATTAAAATAATGTTTGATTTCTTTGCCCAACCAGAATAGAGCAAACCTGATTCTGACTGGAAATTCCAAAGCGATCATCTTCAAATAGGCTAGAGCATAAGATTAAAAAAAAAAAAAAAAAAACAAAACAAAAAAACAAACCAAAACAAACCAAAACACCTCACAACAAAAATCCTAATCTCACCATGAGAACTCAAAGTCTAATGCAGTTGTTTGAAAGCAAAGCATCCTTCTTTCCTTCTAGCAAGGAAAGCAAAGTCCAGAGAAGTGCTCTGAGACAGATCTTTTGCAGTGAGCCAGATGGATGTGGTACAGTACCATGTGAATCTCTCTGCTCAGAGAATGGCAAGGCATACAGATGTTTCCTCAAGTCTCTTTACATTTTGGTGGCCTGTCAGCCCAGATGTAACCACCTTGGCAGCATCTGAGGCAGAGGAAAGTGTGGGGAAGGAAGGGCTGTTGCTATTTAGAAGCTGAACGTTGTTCCTGTGGCCAGCACTGGTGGCTTTAAACCTGTTCCTGTGACCATTCAGTCCCTGCTATTGCTGCTGCTGCTGCTGCTGGGGCAGAAGGACCTGAGCAGAAAACTCTTATGTCTATAAACCCCTTCACCACCATTTCTGGCTTGGCAGCTGCTGCTGCAGCTTGCTGAGGCCAGGCTGGAGGGTGGCCTCTGTCTCCATGGGGGACACGGATTGACAAAGCCATTTGTCACCTCAGGCTGGAAATGAGGCCTCAGCAACCCAGAAACAGAACTGAGGGGCTGTTGGAAGTCTGATAAGAAAATGAATGCCCAGATGGTAGAAATGCCCAGTGGCAGCAGAGCGTTCAGAGAAGCCTGAAGAGCTGTGATGCTGTAAACCCCTGACAAGGACAAGAAAGCCCAGCTCCAGCCAGGCACCAGGGGAAAGAGCACACCATGACATTAGCAACAAACAATTCCCAAGTTCCCCGCTGGTGAGGTGAGGTAGCTGTGCTGGGCTGCTGCCTCGGTGGCTGAGGCAGAAGGTGCTGGGGCACACAAGCCCTGAGCTGGGCACACAATCTCCAGGCAGCGGGAAACCTTCCTGCCTCCCGCTCCTGCTCCAGGGATGCTCCCGGGAGCCCGGGACTCCTCCCCAGCCTGCCCAGAGGTGTTTGCATCCTGTCACCGCAGCTGCGACGGTGCCGGGGACTCTCCCGGGGATGCTCCCGGTGCCTGCCCGGGCTCAGCCCCTGCCCCGCCTGCTGCCGGGCTTTGCTGATGCTCTCGGTGCCATTCCCGTGCACAGCCCACCCGGGCAGAGCCGGGGCAGCGGCGGAGGAGCGGCGGGAGCGCTGCCGTGCCCCCGGAGCATCCCCCGGCCGCGCTGCCCTTTCCTCTGCTGCCTCCCGGCGGCTCCGCCCGAGCGGCTCAGCATCACCGATGGAGCCGCAGGAAGGTTTCCCTGACACCGGCCGGTCTAACCCTCTGCCACGAGCAAAGACACTTTCCACTGGACCAGGATGCTCCAAGCCCTATTCAAGCTGGAGCTGGGCACCTCCAGGGATGCAGGGGCAGCCACAGCTTCTCTGGGCAACTTGTGCTAGGACCTCATCACCCTTGGCTTTCCTCCTTGTCTATTTGTGACATGCCCTTATCCAAGGTGCCTCTCCAGCTCTCTTGCATTGGAAAGTGCTGTTGAGTCTCCCCTGTAAATATCACAATGTTTCTGTTCATGAATTTGCTTGTCTGATAGCCCCAAGATGCTGAGTTCAGTCGGTGGGCATTGCTCCAGGCAGGACTTGCTGTAGCAGGTGGAGGTTGTGCATTGCCCTTCTCTGAAAACAAACAGGGCAGATCTGGGGATTTTTACTGGGCATTGGCTCTGTGGATAGAACTCCCCTCGAGTTCAGCAGGGATAAGCCCATGATGTAAAGGGTTGGTCCAATGTGCCCTGTGATGCACTGTATGTATGAATGTAGTGCAATGGGTGAGGGAAATACAGTTTGGTATTTTTGGTTTTTCCTAAGCACCTGCTCTTCTGTGGGAAAATTTTTCTTACAAGTGCAAAAAAACAAAAAAGAACTGACACAAAGCACGTGGAACTTATGAATGTAACATCTTTATATGTAAGTAATATGTAAGAAAGTGAAATCTTTATATGTTACTAGGGTATGTCTGATCTCTTGAAAGTGTTCACTGAAAGCAGGCAAAATAAATGGTCTCTATTTTAACTGTAAATACTTTACAGTGAGGGATTTTTTGAGGATTTCACCAGCACGTAGAACAGTGCAGTCCTAATCCATTTAACTTCAGCTTTTAAGTTACAGCAGTTGCAACTCCCCTCTGTACTTCCCTGTGGGTACATTCAAAAACAAGTGGAGATAAAAATATCTTTGTGGAGCCCTTGCTTTTCTGCCACCCTCACCATTCCCGTTGGCACGTTTCAGCTCCTCACCAAAGACGTGAAGCAGCGGCTGGGATGTCAAGGGGAAGGTGCAGCAGAAGTGAAGAGACACCCCTTTTTCAAGAGCATGAATTTCAAGCGGTTAGAAGCAGGAATGCTGGATCCTCCCTTTGTGCCTGATGTAAGTGCCATAGCAAGAACCCCCTGTGGCCTCTTTTAAGAGGTTTGTTTCTAAAATAGCTGCTCTCTCTCAGGGCTGTCATCGCTCTCTGCATGGCTAGCTACCCCAGGAAGGTGTGATAAGTGGTGGGGCTGGAGTGGGGAGGCTGGGAGGAAGAGGAGAGAGGGCTCTGTGGGCATGTGGATGCAAACTGGTAATTTGGGGCTTGATCCATTCCCACTCCTTTTACCACAGCGTTCCTGCACGGCACTGGAGGCACTGGGGACCCACTGTGAAAATAAGTGTGCTCAGAACCAGGTGGTGCTTGGGACAATCAGCAGTGAAAGCCAAATGTGTGCATGCAGGTTTATAGAGGTGAAACCAGAAATACAAAGTCCAGGGCTCTGTGGAACTGGATCATCATGAGAACAGTAGTTTGCAAAGTGAGTCTGAGCCAGGCTCAGCTATCAAGTGTCACCTCAAGCAGAGAAGGTGACTTGCACCTGAGAGAGCATTTGGAGCCTTTTGGCGTTCATGGGGCACAGAACCCAACACTGGGTCCTTACTCAGATTTAGACACCAGGCTCACACATTTTGAAAGGCTTCATTGCATTGGCAACAACAAAACTTTTTCCACCCTTTTGTGGTATCGGTTTCTAGCCCAGTGCGCAGAGTTATCTGATTATTTTCCTCCTGCAGGGCTCTCTTTCTGGCTGGAGCTTCTATCCATAAAGTCCCCATATGGTTCTAAATAAACACTGCCATTTTAACATATTAAAGAAAGTAACATCTTGGCAGCTCCCATTCCCGTTGCTGCAGGCTCAAGCAAACCAAAGTGGTTTGAGCGCTACAAAAGTTTACTTTAGTTGCTCTGGTTTTGCTTTACATTTTACTATGCAGCCTAGTTATTCCTGCCAATTAGCCCGTGGTGTTACGACCTGCTTTAGTGGGAAGAAATAAGAGACAAGCTACTATTTCTTTCTGATGTAGAAAATTATAAAATTCTGGGCTCAAAGTTGGGATCCGCCAGAGTGCATAAAAACTGTGGCACATAAGGCCTAGAAGGCACCTCTTAGAGACATACTTGCAAAAGCAAAGGCACATAAATTTTTATGGCTATTTTTTGAGAGGTCAAGGGTTGCCCCTAATTTAATTTATTTGGCACTTCATCCATAGATCTCCCAGTCTTTACTGAAGTCAGCTGAATCACCCAAAGCTATATAGCCAATGGCAGAAGTGTCTCTCCATCCTCTTCTACGTTACTCCATCTCCACAAAAATGTTGTGGATTGCAGCTGTCAGGAATGCAGAGGGATACAGCCTTCAGCAAACAGGACTTCTGTCAGGAATTAGGTCAGCTGGTTTGGTCACAGTGCTCAGATCCAGATAAATAAAGTGCTGCACTGTTGGACCCCTGGCTGGGCACTCCTGGTAGCACAGACACACAGCAGGATTCCATGCAGGATGGGGTTCAGCAGGTCAGGCTGGTCCCACAGGCCACCCAAAATTATCCCTGCACACCAAGGGGTGGCTGTGCTGGTGATGGGGAATCTCTGGGCACACACACTGCCTGTGATAGGCAGCCACTGGTGATTCTTTCTGCTCCCTGGGGCTGCTGCTGGAGTACGAGCTAAAAGTTCCGTCGCTGCAAAGAGTTTTGTCTCTGTCATCCCAGAAAACTGAGTAGTTCAAAAAGGCAAAGCCATTTGACTGTTCCTTTGAAGAAATGCAGCCAAGTTAAAAGAGTTAATAGAGGTAATTCTGGGCAGCTTCCAGCAGCTGAGCTATTAATAAAAACAATGGAAAAATGCCAAACCTCCTCTGTTTTCTTTAGCAATTAAGATACATTCCTTTAAACTTCCAAGCTGCAAACTCCACAGCTATCTGGGCAGGAGGGCACTTCTATCTGAGGCATCTTTTCAGAGCTCTCTCCAGTGTGCCACTCGTAAACATTCTGGTTTTCTGTTGTTCCCTCTCTAAATTAAAAGACTACTGAAGGGTTCCATTTTTCTTTTCTGCCTCTTTCTGTCCTTTTCCTCTCACCTCTTAACCAGATGGCATATGGATGACTAAAACCCACTTTGACTGATGCTTTGAGGACTTCAGAATAGGAGGCTTAATGTGCTTAAAGTGAAGTCAGCCTTTGATGATAAACATGCAGGCAGAGCAAGTCTGGAGAAGGAGGATGCAGACACACACTTGTTAGACATTCTCACTTGACTGAATCTGTGAATGAAAGCACATGGTCCGACTCAGAAATATTTTTTCTTCTTGTCATTTCTCTTTTTTTTTTCTGCTGACACAGCCCAGAGCAGTGTACTGCAAGGATGTGTTAGACATTGAGCAGTTCTCCACAGTGAAAGGAGTTAACCTGGACCAAACAGATGACGATTTCTATTCCAAGTTTTCCACAGGATCGGTGTCTATTCCATGGCAAAATGAGGTAAGGATATATCATAGCAAAGTTACTGCAATAAACCCCACAACACACACAATTTAAGAGGAGCTCTATGTTGCAGTAATATATAGCAGCTACTGGACAACTTGCCAGACTCTAATGCTTTCATGAGTTACAAATGGCCTCTTTCAAGATCTGTAATGTACCACAGATGTCAGGTTCAGGTGACTGTATCTGTTGGCTCTGTGTATTTGTGTAAATTGGCAAGGATCCTACTGTACTTCCTCCTCCTGGATTTCTACAGAGGTGTTTCGACAGCCCTCGGCACCTTCTGTGGTTCAGCTGGAAATCCCTAAGGGAAGGATCCTCCACTGGTGCCCCTGCTCTCACCCACTGTCTGCAGTCAGATAATTCTGGACCCTGAACTCCTCCAGCATTTCCATCTCTTGCTCTTTGTTTCTGTTTGGTATCAAACCACAGCCAACAGCGGATTTCAGAATGCAGCCCTGCATCAAACAGCAGATCCACTTGGGCAGAAGGTGCTAATAACTGGGATTTTGTAAGTGTGCCAGTCTTTGCCTGATATTCTCTACAATGCTAAAGGAAAGAACAGAATGTCTTGTGGGGCAGCTTCTGACAAGTCTGCTGTGCAAACACGCAGAGCAGGCTCAGCCTCTGGTTTTCATACACTCTATTTGCCCTCTACAGACACCAGCAGGAATCCAACTGTGAGTTCTCCTCACACACTGCTGACTTTGAAGAACCTAGCACTACTGGAATTTATTTAGTACAGATGAATAATCCCTTTTTTCTTTTTCTTCTCTCTCTCACTATGTTCCACTAGATGATAGAAACAGAGTGCTTCAAGGAGCTGAATGTATTTGGACCAAATGGTACTATTTCACCAGACCTAAACAAAAGCTACCCCCCAGAGCCACCCAAGAAAGGATTGCTGCAGAGAATATTTAAGCGACAGGTGAGATCTTTTATGAGTAAGACCAGGAAACTCCTGTAGATGCCTGTTTTCAGAGCCCTGTTCTGGTGATATTTCTGCTAGGAGAAGGGCAGTGCATCTTAGAGAGGGCTGGCTCTCACATTTACCTCCATATTCCAGGTTTTTCATCTACCTTTTGTGATTTTTTTTTGCCACCAGTGGTTCCAGCGTTGCTCGTGAGAAACTTCTTACCCAGCCTGTTTTTCAGTGGTATGCTGAAATGCCTTTTGAAACTGTCCTATGGTTTTGAGAAGTTCCTTGTGAAAATCCTTGATTTATGTGTTAAAAAAAAAAAAAAAGGAAAAGGAAAATGCATATTTTGAGGGAGGCAGTCGTGGCAGGAAACCAAGATAAAAAACAAGAGAGCAACCTGGATCAAACATGAGGTGCAGCTTTCATGGCACCACTTGCAAATGTCAATAACATTCTTAGACGGGTCTATTTCTGTAGGGTTAAACCATGCCTGAGCACTGGATTGGCAGGTACCCTCTGTATAAGTCAGATTTAGCAGATGCTGACATTTTGCAGTGAATAGATTTGGCTCCTGGAGCTCGAGTGAGCCTTCTTTGCTTCATTCCTCAGGAACTGCCATGGTTCTGCTGACCTAGGGAGACTACAGGTAGGAGAATGAAGAATATTTTGCATCTGAAGATCTTCAAGCAAGAGTCTTGCAGTCTAGCCAGTACCATAAAATGAACAGTGTTGGATTAAAACTAAAACCATAGAATGTTATGGAATTCTAATTGTAATTTTCTTCCTCTTCCTGCAGCATCAGAACAATTCAAAGAGCTCTCCAAATACAAAGGCCAATTTAAATCATCACATAAATTCAAATCACGTAAGTTCAAACTCCACTGGAAGCAGCTAGTTCCAGCTCAGTCCTATGAAACAACATGTTACATCCTTCCACTATAATCTCTGGAGCTTCTGTGGATGAGAGAGCCTCCACCATTGAGTGAAAAAAAGAAAATCTGGATCTCCCAAAATGGAGATTTTCTATCCATTCCTTCCAGTGGAGCCTCACATTTTAAGAAGAAATTTCCACTCAGGTCTGTTTTTGGAGGTGGCACTCAAGACTGTGTGAATCAAATTTGTCTCTTTAGAACATTGCAATAGAAATTCAATGAACATGACTACTTGCACGTATTTAAATAGCATCATACTAGAACTGAATTTTGTCTTTATTATTTTTAAAGAAAAGTTTTGTAAATTTCTCTATTGTCTCAGTTTACATTTTGTACATTTGTATTTAAATGAAAGTCAGACTTTGGAGGTGTATATTTTCCAAGCAGCAGCTGTAAAGCCATGTGTTTTAAGACATTTTTTTAAAAGAAACAAAATGTGACTCAAGACTTCCAGAGCCTCAAATGAGAAATCATTCTTTTTAGCAATTCTAGAAAATTCTTCATAAATCACTTTATCAGACGGGGGTTTATTGACATGCATTTTTATGGAACAGTTTATTCTTAATTATTTTACATCTGTATATTTGGTTTACAGCAACACTGCATACATTTCTCCTCTTCATTAGTTTGTAATGTCTCGCATTAAATGCTAAAAGACAAGATTTTGATGCATTCAAAAATGCTACTTGCTATGCTGATGGTTTGTGATGTCTTGGGACCAGCACAGCTGAGATTTGCACTTATGTTGTTGTTCCATCAAAGGCTTTTTAGTTAGAAAGGGAGCCCTGTTTTAAACTGTTTTAGTTCACTAGTGTTTGTGCTGTTTCTAGCAACAGGCAGAACAAAGCTGAGGGAGAGGTGACCAGAAAAGCAAATGTCCATTTCCTTTTCTAGGACTTCAAACCTGCACCTGCTGAAATGAGAGCAAAACTCAAAGTGTTCTCCATGCTGCAGTCAAGAGCCCAAGGTCTTTCCACACTGCCCATATCAAAGAGGCAGCAGGAGGGAAGTTCAGCAGTCTGGTTTGTGCCAACCATGAGATTGGTGACAGCTTTGTAGAGCTGAGCCATGGAGGCTCAGAGATCTGAGCTGCTTTTGGGCAATGGCAGAACCTACAGGCTGTGCCCACACTTAAAATACTTCCACGTGTCATGCAAACACCCCCTGACACATCCTCTCAGTTAGATCCTCAACTGAATAAAATGCCAGTATGAAATAATATTGGCATCAATAATAATACCACTTCCAGCTCCATCATTCTTTGTCCAGGATCCTTTAACCAACAACAAAAACTCTGTCCCCACTAGGATGAACAGGATCATGCAGGATCAGTAGCAGTGCCTCCACCATCAGAATCAGGCTCTTCTCAAGTATTTCACTCATATTGTTAAGAACACCAGACCAAAAAATATGGTTACTTCCCTTCCATGGGGATTGGAAAACCTTTGTGCCCACAAACTGCAGCCCAAAGTGTTCTGTAAGAGTGTGGTGGTTCCCCATAGTTGGCTAGACTATACTGATTTTTTTAAACCTTTGGGTCATCAGGTGCATCAGAAAGCCACCTTGATGTGTCTAAAAAAAATCCTGTTAGCCAGTAGTGGAGCTACCCCAGGGTCCAAGGAAGTGACGTTCCAGTGGGATTGTTAATAGCCAAAATTCATTTCACTGCCGTGTGTATGTTCTGTGTGGCCAGTGCTGAGGGGGAAAAGGAGGAAGGTTAGTAGTGGCAAATCCCTGAGTGAGAAACACACAGGAATGACATAGTAAAGCAGCTTGAAGTTGTGAGACAGAGAGACAGAACAGGGATTTGCATAGAGCAGCTGACAGAGAAAAGTCAGGACAGGGAGATGAGGCTTCAGCCATTCTCCCATGTCAGATGGTGGCATTGCAGATCTTACAAAAGATGCAGGATTTTAGAGATGTTGCTAATTTGGCATGTGAAGACTAAAATTTTCATTCTTCACTATCTCCCAGTATGAGCAAATCCCTTACTGAAAGCTGGTGAACAAATTGCAAATGTTGAATATAGCTGGTCTTACACCTTTTACATGCTGCCAGCCTTAACCTGTGGTGGATGGCATTTTAGGGAGAGCAGTGAATGACAGTGTTTGTGCCTTGTCCTGCTCTCCTTTCAGCCAGGACAGTCCTCACTCAGCAGCTCTAGGACTTGGCAGTGCAAAGTCCTGGAAGGGCGAGAGCATTCATTCTCCCTGGATACCTGCAGGATGTTATGCTAGGGCTGGATATCCTGAATTCTCATGGCATGGAAGAAGGATGCTTGTGTGCACCTGAAGGCATCAAGCCTGGGATGGAGCCCCTCTGAATCCCACCTCGTGGAGCAGTGGGAGAGGAAGGGGAGAGACACAGAACACCACCAGGAGAGAGAGATTTCATCCCTTGAGTGTCTCAGTCCTACAAACAGTATTACCACGCTGGGGCAGCAGAACTTTTCAGCACCCAGCCCTGGAAGGCTTAAAATCTATCAAAAGTGCAAATGATCAGTTCTAGGGATCTTCTTGATACAGTTTGCCTGCAACAACAAAACCTGCAGGATTTCTTTTTTATCGCTTCTTACTTTTGTTGGGATTCTTTTTAAAAAAATTTTCAGCTTCCCTTGAACTCAAAGCTGGAGTAGGAGCACAGTTCTTGCCCTCCCATTGTGTGCCCAGGTGCAATTTGGACCCAGAACTCAGGGTTGAAGCCTTGTCAAGGCAGTGCCCTGCGTAGCCAGGCTTCCACAGGCATTTGGCCATTGGCTCCATGGAGTCAAATTTAAAAACCACTGGGAACTTTGGAAGAAAATTTACAGTTTCTTCAAACAACTTTGAAGAGCATTTGCAATGAGATTTTTAGTATTTTGATTCCAGGTGAATTTTGAGGTGGGTTTGCACGTAACAAAGAAGTAGAAAGGAATAGTTCTGTAATAGCTTTCCAGACTGATTCGTTTTCTTTATCTCCTCTTCAGTTACCATCCAAATTCTTTTCAAAGAATGCATATGCTCATATCTGGCTGCTTGTTTTAAATAGACAGATGAGCAAACTTAGCTCTTTTAAAGAATCAGAAATCCTTTCCAATCTGATCCTGAATTATGCAAGCATGCCTTTTATTTTTAAATCTTTGTTGAGGAGTCTGATGAACACAAATTAGTTGACAGACTTTCATGAGTCAGGTGTTTGCTATTCATTTTCTACAGTGTCTCAAGGTTTGCTTGAGTCTTGTAGCATTTTTCCCCACTGTTGGATGTGAGGCTTTTTTTAAACAAATGAATAATGAAGAAAAAACAATAACAAACTCTTAGATGTGCACTCTTGACCTGAATTATCTAAAAAGAAGTTTTTCACAAGAATGGCCATGACTCAGATGTTGTTTCGGAACAAAAACCTGCTTGTGAAGCTGGGAAAGGTGTGAAGATAATCAAACCAAGCAGGTAGTGCAGATCAAACTGAGTGTTAGGGAGCTGCAGAATTCAATATTGCAGCGTTCACCTGGCCCTGCTGATTAGGGACTCCTGGTTCCTGCCAGCTCAGGGACAAAACAGCTCTCCATAAACACAGCTTGGTACCACCTCAATTTGCAGTCACCCCAGAAACTATGGCTGAGTGCCATCAGCAGTAAGAATCAAACTTGACTGACCCAGTGAAGCACCAGATTTGAAGACACTGATTCTTAAGGTCATTCACCCAAACCTCAGGATCCAGCTTGAATTCTTTGCTGACAGTTCAAATCCAGTTGGTCTTTTTCAGCGGCCATGCCTCAACTGGAAAAACCAACAGGAAATGAACCTTCCTAGTGGTAGAACCACAGTCAGGGTGAGGAAGACAGGGAAGCTGTGAGCTCTGGAGGACAGTGTGTGAAGTCCCATGGGGTGTGAATCGCCAGCAAGGGTGCAGCTGTAGCACACTGCTGTTCTTCCTTGGGGTCATCATGTGTTGGTCAGAGTTTCTTCAGTGACCTGGGTCTGGCCCATGGCCAATGTTGTCCTTCTGAGGGTAGAGAGGACAGCTGGATGAGGCAAGTAGGAATCCCCCCAGCCTGCATGGACAGCATCCCCCAGGTCTGTGCATCCCCCAGGAGCTCCCTGCACAGGCTTTTCTGGAAGAGCAATAAATGCACAACCCCACAGCACAGCTGCTGCTCCTCACTGACATCCGTGGAACAGGAACTGGCTCCATTGTCACCAAGATGTTGGTGTTTTCACCCCTGCTCCACGATTAGTTGTGATCATTGTTCTGTTCAGTTAATATTTGTCATATTCACTGAAGTTACTCACTGCAGAGGAGAGCATTCATCAGGCGTTTCCCATACAATCTTTGGAACAACTGGATTTTTCTTTGGAAGAACATCCTTTCTGTCTCCTGGCATGTGGATCATCTTCCATCATGTGGAAGCCTGCAGGAGCTCTGGAAGTCCATAATTAAAGGCTCTCCTGCCCAAGGATGGTCCCAGTCTTTCTCAGGCTGCAGGGAGGTTCGTTTGGCAGTGAATTTTGGAAGAATCAGTCTATTCAGTGGCTCCAGGGAAATCAGGAGATTCCAGAGTTATCTATCTCCAGCCTTTCATAAATAAGACCTTTAACTTAAAATAGTACTAAATATTTAGATTAAGGAGAATAATTACTAACACCCTCATGCTAAAATTAAAATAAAGTCTGCATCAGTTTAAAGCATCTCTTCTGTGTGCTGGACAGGACACACTTCCTTTTATGCCAAATAATATTGGAGTGCTGGCTGGTAATATTTGTCTTTCTTAAATGCAAAAACTGAAAAGATAAAGAAATCGGTTCAGAGAATTTTTAAATGGTTTCATTTAGGGAAAATAAAAAATTTCATCAAAGAAGGTGAAAGCCAACAATATGCTACAGTATTATGGGCTGACCTCCCCCAAATGTCTCTGTGATAATACAAATACAATCTGCTGCAGTTGGATCAGCTAAGCTGGTGTAATGACAAATGGGCTTGATGAAAGAAGCAATTTTAAACAGATTGCTGCCTATTCATTAACATGAATATTACTGCTGGCACATATGTATTCTCCTGGCTTTAGGTACTGGAGCCAGGAGAGATGGTTTGTATTCCTCTTCTGACTGTGTTTTTCTTCACTGCCCTGGGCAAACCGCTGTGCAATTTTGTTTTCCCAACCCCAAACATGGAGGGATGCTCTCTGTCTGTCAGTGGAAAGCACTTTGGAGTCTGTGCATAAACCAGATCAGTATCAACTCTTTGTATTATTATTTAAATGAAATAGGCTTAGTATAGCTGCTCTTTATTTACACGACTAGTGAGACAACTCTCCTAAATTAGGACTCTTTTTATTATTGGTTTGTTTTAGCTCCTTAGAGATACTGAAACAGAACAAACTGAACTTGTGTAAGACATCTCCAGCAGACAAAAAGGTGACAGTGCAAATGTTTTAAGCATTAATTTCTTTCTGAAGAGCTGGCCAGTAATTGTGGCATTCACATGAACACACTTCCTCTGATTTTAGAATGGAGAGAAATAGTTAAGAGGAAGGGAGCAAAACAACATTCATTGGCTGAACTTTTTTGGCCAAGCCTTCAGAGGATTCCCTAGGCACCAATTGAGTGAGGTGCTGTGTGAAATCCCAAATTTCTGGGATTTCTGGAAGCAAAAGAGGAAACGTGCCTGGGGTCAGTGGGCTCCAGAGGGGAACTCCAGGATTTCTGGAGTGGTCCTGTAGAGAAGATTCACTCCCAGAGAAGAAATATCTCAGGTAGTGGCTGGATGGCAAATGTGTTTTCCTTTCTCATCACCCCACATGCAGCTGTTAGATATGTTAATTAGCAAGCTCAAACGAGTTGTTTCATGTGTATTGAATGCGGTCTCCCTTAATTGCATTTCTTTTAAACACTGGACACTCTTCTAAAAGACTGAACATTTTAGCCTTTTGAAGCTGAAAGCTGTAAAAACTTTATTTTGTGTTTCTGAGCAATGTAGATAGACCTAAAGATTTCATGAACTATCATGTGGTTGCCCATATCTGACTAATAATTAAATTGTAAAATTGCAGTTTCATATTAGGGTTAGTCTTTTCACCTGCTTTAAAAATTAAAAATCATATTTGGTATATAAACACACACAAAATATCCTTCTGATTGAATTTCAAGAGCATATCCAGGAGTAAATGTTTTTAAGCACTTCTAATACTGTAGTCTATAAGAGGAGCAGACACTTCTAAAGCAATGTTAAAAGTTGTCTTTCATAACTGAGTCAACAGATCATTTTTGTAATAAATTAAAGCAAGTGTTCTCAATTAGAAGAGCTAGTGGCTGTTGATATTGTACAAAAAAAAAAGTCATTCTAATATCCAAAGGGTTAGGGGTGGGGAGGGTCTGTTTGGTTTCGTTTCTCTTTCCAGGGAGATCTTTAACATTGTTTGATGAAGCTAGTTTCATTTTGAGATTGTTACTGAAGATAAAGGCTTCTGTGTTCTATGGCTGCTTGGATTTTTCGTACATAATGTCCTAGTAATGTCACAGTGCTGCTGTATTTAGATCAAACCACTGTTTTGATTGGGGTTTTTGGCTTTTTTTTTTTTTTAATAAATTCCTTAATTTAAATACATGGAAACTATATGTTTTCTTTAATGAGGCACTTAATCAAACAGAGATTCCTCGGGTCCTTTGGATGCTGAAGATGGTTGCAGTGGGAGTGGGGTGCAGCCCATCTCTTCCCGGATGGTTTGTGGGTTCGTGTGGTTTGTGTTTTCTGTCCCACAAACCTGCCTGAGGTTTCACCTCACTTTGTGCAGGTTCTGGTTCTCTTAGGTGTCAAAGGTGACAAAATCCCAGCAGGGACACGAGCTGCAGAAGGCATGAGCTGATTTATG